TTTTGTTTCCAATGTGTAACACAACTATCATACGCATGTACAGAAAATAAAGGGGATTTAATGTTGAATTACTCAAGAATCAAAGGGACGCATACATATTTGACCTACTGGGTATTTTTCAAATCCACTCTTCCCAACGTGCCAAAACTCTGAACCATGAATCTTGAGGTTGACTGTGCTGAACAAGATACACCTGCGTCAATAGAAACGTCAATCCTACCTAGTAACAGGCTGCATCACAAACTTGAATACCATACCTTGTCGTCAAGAAACCCAACCAAATAAAATGTATCAGGAACTAGATCTGGTATTCTGAAGAGAAAAAAATAACTACAGAGCTGAACGCTCCAAATAAAAGATGAGCCTCAATAAGCAAGCTCCGATAACACCGATATGTAAAAGTCCTACTACACCGACAAAAAACAGCGACTGTTTACACTCCGTCAGAAGGTGTACTATCGTTTGCTCTCAACTTTGCGGGTAAATCAGTCAATAGTAAATCACACCATTCTTTCATGTTTCACTGCATCAGTTTCGATGACCATATTACCATTAGTTTGCAACAAGACACCTCACCGAAACTTTTGCAACCGCGTAGCGCATCTGTAAGAACATTCCAAAAGGCCAATATTGTCTGCAAGCTAGACTTTCTTTGAAGAGAATTGGCGGTTGCATCCGATCGGATGACACACATAAAGAGCGGTGTTATTGAAGCTGGTAAAATACCGTACCAGGACATAAAATAACATGGGCAAGAGAAAGGGGATCTCAAAAGGAGTGACATGTCTGCCTGTACTGAGTCCACAGCACGCATATAGACCGACATAATCATCATCATCGTCAGCTGTAAAAACTGCGCAGTTGTCGACATAATGAACTATTACGGGGATTGGATCAGAGCGAAATATGTTTGCACACTTTAAACTTAGTGATCTTCTGTGATTTTATAATCCTTCGTAGGGATACAGCTAGACTGAACCGACTCAATCTGTGGTGAAAACGCCAGATAAAAGTTCTCAGCAACGGATAACCAGATGTACATGAGACATGCAACATACAATTTGTCACAACAATCCACCAAAGTTCGGGTTACGTTTACCTCAGTGCCAATCAATTTGCGGTGAATACATCTGAGTCATTTTAAACCTAACCGGCTATTCACATAATTATTTACTAAGGTATTCTGCTTCTAAACTATTGCTGCTTATCAGCTCTACATGGTTAAATTAAATACCGAATGATGGCTCTTAATACAGGCTTTTAAGACTCAAAATATCCCACAAAATTCTAAAGGCTACTCCTTTGACAGTTCAAAAACCATCACTAAAATGCCATTATTTCAGCCCAACCTTTTGTCAGAAAATAAAACCTACCAAATTTGTTTGCAAATTAACTCAATTTTGACCGGAGATTTAACTGAATTGTCGCTAAATATTTACTTTTACATAATGATCTACGGGAAAGCCGTCAATACACCACAGTTTATTGTCCTGAGGGAACCTATCAGTCTAAAGTTGCTGAAAAGTTTTAGACAGCCCACTACTGGTTTTGCTCCCATTAGATCCCGTCAGATCTGCATATACTCTCCATTTTGCTGCTTACTACATTCTACTCAATCCTGAGCTCGTTCATGTATATTGCCAAAACTCATTGCTGCAACCCATTGATGGTAGGATCATCAAAGTTTTGCCTTCTCTGTCTCAAGATGTAACGTACACTGGGTTGGATGGATTAAAGTGAGAATTCGAGTAAATGTAGCTGTCATAACGTTACGAGCCGTTGTTTTGTATCGCTGATAATGCCTTAGGAATGTGTTCTAGTGTTAACAAGGTAAGCATTTGGATGAAAAGGCGAAAGTGCTCTCAAATACCGTGTCGGGGAAGTATAGTTATAGGGTATCTTTTAAAGATTGGTTAATAAAACACAGATTATTTGCAACACAGGTAGTCTGCTTCATAATTATCATCATCAGAATCATCAATGATAGAAACATCAAAAAACACAGTCCAACCACCGAAGCACGATTGGGTGCAGCGTGCAACTTAAAAATGATTATCGCCACCCTTGAAACTTTCTGTACGATTTGAGTCCATTGAATGATATGGTCCCTAAATGATAGGTTCTATAAGCACTAAATTTTCGGCAAACCAAACTTTTGCCTACTCCAAGGTTTTTTCGATCACTTCGGACCATCAAATTCCGGCTTAGGTAGTGTTTTGCATGTGATTTATAATGCTTATTTGCATGGAAAGACTAACAAAAACTACTTTGAAGCTCTTTAGGGGGAAGCTGGGAAGCTTCCTGTGTCCACGGAAAACACTAACAAGCTTGATGAAGTGCAACGCGGAAGGTTTGTTGAACATACTTTGATCTTTATACGTAGTGAATTCTATAAGATAATAACGTTCTAAGTGCGGCTTCCAGTGGTACGTACGAAGGAGTAAGCTAGCACTCTTCTCTATTAAAGCGAAAGTGTACGTCAACGATCCACTTTTAAGTTGCCCATATTGTGGAGCAGTTCTTTTTTGTTTAACAAAGCACGTACTGTGATGATGAGGCAGTGCGTATAATAATTATGTAGAACCATCGGCGACAGATCCTTGCCACTCGCTGAGGTTTGGTTTCACTCACTCTAGCCAGTAGTGTTCATCCGCCTGGCGTAATTAAAGGGTCTTTAGTTCTAAAGGATGCAGCTAGGCTGGAACATTACTATTCGTACCAGGTTCAAATGATGTTGAAATTAGTCCGTGTCCGAGAATATAAAGGTTATAAAGGTTGTACCATAGGTACATTGGTTTCAGGTGCTACAGTTTCAGTTGACGGAAAACGGAAGTGTGGAACATACAGTAAGTCTCGGAGGCGAAGGCTTGTTCAGTTTGTTCGGAAATTGGGTTGCTGCGCATTGTAGGCGATGGTTTTGATACACGAGCGCCACTGGTTGCCCGATTGGGCCATCTCTGCCAGTATCGTTAAGCACTGGTGACTATGACTATGGGATGCAAGCTGCAATTTGTTGAGTCAGATCACCTACACTTTTCCGTCAACTTATGCTGCTACATCTTGTTTCTGTCGGTGGGTAAGGCAAGAAGAATTGCCACAGCGAAACGTTTCTCCGTATATTCACAGTTGTACCGGCATACCGATGGCTTGCTTTCTGCCTGTGTGTTTTATCTTAAATTGTACTCAGAACTTGGTAACTTATTTGCCTGTACCAGCGTCATATGCGTTTGCACCTAGCATTTAATTTTACTTCCTCCCTATTACTCGAATGACAGACGTTTCCTGGTTCAGGTAAAGTTTGTTTGCAATATTCTACTTGGTGTTCTCCTCAGACTAAATTCACTGCTACTGGTGAGTTTGGGATTCATAGTAGTAGTTGAGACCTGTCTCACCACCACTGAAGTAAATGTTGGGCGACTGAGCTACCCCATGTGTGGAAATAGATGGCGGCACAAGACCTTAGGAGGACGAGATGATAGTTAATTTGTTCTCATTTCACTGTCCACTGCAACGAGCCTGTTAAGCTTGATGTTTCGCGCAACGATATATGCTGTACTGAGCCCGCTATTTAAATTTAGGTCTGCATGGTTAGTGCAACTTGGTGTAACCGAAGACTCAGCTGCTACGCCATGACTTAAGTCAAAATCGGACTGTAGTGAAGCAGGTGGTTTGGTATAATGACGGTAATGCTACGCGTGACGCACTAAAACACTGCCAGTGGACAGTTCGTGGTTTGTGTTCACTTCAGCCAATAAATGTCAGACCACATTACGCACAGGGTAACAAGGGGGCAACGAACGCCACAGACGTTAGGACTAACATTTCGCTTGCAGAATTTGCAAGCTGCATTAACGCTTTCTAGGATCTGATAGACAATGCTTCGAGTCTGGGACACCAGGATGTTTCCCAAGCAAAGACAACTGAGGTCAAGATTAACCAAGCTCAGCTTCTGGCCCCGTGTCTGACATGATGGCTACGCCTCTCCACACAAATCATGCTCAAAAATGAGTAGATCTACTTTGAGAAAACGCAACATGCGAATGAACCTAATTTACCACCGATTGACGCGTCTAGAACCCTTCTTTAGCACGTGACAATTTCCTAAATGCGACAGGGTGAGATATTTCGGGGTTTGGTATAATGACGGTAATGCTACGCGTGACGCACTAAAACACTGCCAGTGGACAGTTCGTGGTTTGTGTTCACTTCAGCCAATAAATGTCAGACCACATTACGCACAGGGTAACAAGGGGGCAACGAACGCCACAGACGTTAGGACTAACATTTCGCTTGCAGAATTTGCAAGCTGCATTAACGCTTTCTAGGATCTGATAGACAATGCTTCGAGTCTGGGACACCAGGATGTTTCCCAAGCAAAGACAACTGAGGTCAAGATTAACCAAGCTCAGCTTCTGGCCCCGTGTCTGACATGATGGCTACGCCTCTCCACACAAATCATGCTCAAAAATGAGTAGATCTACTTTGAGAAAACGCAACATGCGAATGAACCTAATTTACCACCGATTGACGCGTCTAGAACCCTTCTTTAGCACGTGACAATTTCCTAAATGCGACAGGGTGAGATATTTCGGACCACATCCAGTTAAGATACGAGAAAGCAAATTCTACACCTAAAACACTCAGCTATGGGCCAGCTCGCAGAAGTTATGGATATATTCGATTTACTGACACAGGCTCAATACATATTATTAATGGATCCGAGAAGTAGGGCCACCACATCCAAACCTTGGAGGAGCCAATCCACACCACATAACTGTGCATATCTGAACGGACCGCTGCTGTGTGGTGAACTTCGCAAGATGTATATCGTAAAACTGGTCAACTTCTCTTGAACTCAAACAGTTGAAACCGAAATTACCATGGATTGTCCATGGAAACACACTTACTGACTGATATGAAAAAACAGGAAATCGATGACAGATTAACTTGTTAATCCCAACATAAGCCAACGCGCGTATAGTTGAGGAATAAACATTTACCTGCGCAAGGTAAAATCCGAAAACCGGAATATATTTCAGATTTTTGTGTAGAATAAACCGGGTGCGCCCAATCCCACCTTGTCTTGCTAGAAGCATTGAACAAATGAACCAATCAACTTTAGTTGAATGTACGTTAATGAAACATTTTCGCCCACCTGTTGAGAGGTGATTCGATATATACAGCGCTCTTTTTCTTCCTTCTTTATGAAATTCTGTATCTCCATAGATAAACAGCTTCCAAGTGATAAGTGGTGCAGCATGGACTTACTCTTGACAAAGTAAGGTACTCAAAAAAGAATAAAAATGCTCGCATATAAGTTGAAAATAGACATTCATTGAGGCGGTAATAGTGGGTTTTTGAGTGCAGCGTGAGGAGTCGAACGACAGTCCAAAAAACTAATACTGTTGGCGTAAGAAGTGCCAGGAAGACCTTCAGGATATTGCGTATAACGGACATCACGGAAACAACCCGTCAAGTGCATTTCCCTCCAGAAACTGGTTGACCTAGAAAGCCTAGGCGATGCACATAAAGCGTTCGTAGGTTAGCTTTCAAGGTCAGTTCTGGAGGCCGAGTGTTCGCGTGATGGTTCAACGGGCATAATGGGCTAGATTTGGAACACGAATCCAACGCCTCATAGTCGATTTGCAGTGTGCTGACTTCGCCAGATTCCTTTTCCAGAAACGATAACGAAGAAACAACATGACATGGTTTCATCAGTTCTAATCCAAACGTTGATTCCAGAAGTGAGAGAAACCCTGTAGGCGGTCACTATGCACTCGTTCTTCACTAACTACTGACTTTTCCGAGGTATTTTGAAATATAGACATAATTTTCATTCTTAGTCGACTTGCACTCTATGACCACCCCAACGGAGCGTCAAAAATGGAGGGGGTCTCTGATGGTTTACAGGCTTGCTCCCAGTGACCATAGACCAAAGAGATCCTATAAAGCTATCGCGTCAAGCGGTGCACTGAGCGGGTACAGAAAGACTACGGTCGACCATGAAGTAACGAAATCCATTTGCGAGGGTTCCACTGGGCCGTCGAATGATTTCCCATAGTGATGGGAAGCATCCCTCCCACATGTTCTGGCGTTTTATGCCTGAGGCTGTTCATGTGGTGTACAGAAAACCATTTAAGAATGTTGTATGCCTAATAATCACAAAATAACCAAGGTTCAAACGCCGCGGATTCCAGCCAGAATTTGTGCGATCGTGAGATGACGGGCATCGATACATCGCTGACGACCAAACTCAATTGACATGGCGGTAGTACAGTGAGGAGTCGTCACTGAGGACAAACTAGGAAAAGAGGCGTCGCTTTCGTGGAACTAATTCTGCCTGAAATGCAGCAGCCTTTGACTTTAGTTTGTACCAGCTGTCTAGCAGCGTTTTTAGTTTTCCTTTTCTATTTTTACTTTTGAATTCATTAGGGGGGTTTCCTGAAGTGCATTCTACAGCGAGGACATATTCAAGGCAGTGACACAGGAATCTGACAACGGCCATATATTTCAAATGGTCTCTTGTATGTACAGGCCGATCCCTGAGTCCTGAAACTGAGCGGGTTTTCAGTGCTACTGAAGGAGTGCTGATCTCACATATGTATTTGGTCGCAACTCACTGGGGCAACATTTTATGCCGAGGTAATCAACTAACGCTTGAGCTTCCAGGATATCGTATCTGGTTTGCAAATGTACAAACCACCAAACGGTCTTACACTAGGAACATGCGGTGATGAACGCTAGCTAACTAAAAAGGTTTATCCATAGCTGAGAATGGCATATCTTCAGGCATGACCATAATGGTACAAGCAGAATTAAAGCATGACCGATGGAAGTTGTGGGTAAGCAGGATGGCGCCGAAAAGAAGGATTCACACAAACAGAAAACAGTCATGAATAAACTGATGTAATATAAATGAATTAAGCACCAAGGACACAAGAACAATTATTGGGTTTTCTTCATCTTTTGAGGCGATTCAAACCGTGTTGCTCCACTTAGATGGCAGTTTGAATGTACTTATGCACCGAAAGTCATTTTTCATTCATCTGCACAAAAACTGAAGGGATTTGGTCTGCTTACACGCACTTTCAGTCTTCAGCTCTCTTCTAGTTGAAATGTATTCATTTCTGGTATCACTTTCATTCCATCTAAAAGTTGAGAAACCTCAAATAGTTGACCGCAAATTTAAATACATCCATAACATTATTACTCCAGAAATGGCATCCATGGCAACTTATCTAACCATCTGGTAACTAATCTTGGCAACTTAACTCAAAGAACAACGTGTTCACTGGGTTCAGGTGGTCACACAGTGCTCCGGGTGTTTTTTATTGCTGACGTTTATCCTCAATTGGTAGGTGACACACAGTCAGGCATGATCACAGTCAGAATAAAAGCATGACGGACAGGGTTTGTGGGTACAGGGGATGGAGCAGAAAAGGGACCGTTATAAACAGCGGGCATTATCCGATGTAGACTTTAGAATTTGAAGGTGATGGACAAAAGCTAAACAAATGAGGACAAGGCAAACAGCAACTTGCCCGACACACGACAGGGAAATTGCATATTTCGGAAAATGAGGAACATAACGGGCGCACAAGTGTCCAGGTAACTGCGGGTACCAGCTTACCTGAACGCAAACAATGCCGGCCATGCAGGCATTCGTTGCCGCGCAGTCTTCACAATTTCGTTCACAATAGGCTCTACATCTTCCCTCTCTGCAGTCTCGGGAGCGCAAACCCATCAAGTGTAAAATCAAATATGTTTGGATCTGGTCAGACAGAATTTTGTGAAGATCACATAGCCCGGGAAGCTGCCTAAACTTTTTGTGCGTGTTGCAGGCGGGACTCTCCTAGTCATGATGTGCATTGGGGCTGTAGAGACTCACCAGTATCACTGCTTGCGTGGGGTCTGGAGTGAAAGGACTTTTGGGGATTTTGGTGCTAATGCAAAAGACGGAACGCGAACTGCACAGAAAATAACTGACTTTGTGAAGAGCATAGAATAGAAGTCAGCAAGATGTTTATATCCAAAACGGAATGTTCAGCGAGCTAGAATGAACCGGCCCAGGGGGCGGCCGCGGGCCAGGTGAATAGGTTGTTCACAGTTGTAGTCGAGAACACGGGTGGGCGAGGGCATTGTCAAATGTACGAAGTGCATAGTTGTGGGTATGCTATCAAACCGGGTATGACACTGCCATGCCATCATTGCACTGAAATACTTCGGTTCCCGGACAACCGCGTGACGGACGTCATGATTGAGGTGTTTGGGGTGGGGTGTGCAATTCTGGGGCAGCAGGATTTTTTGGGTTCTGGTCAAGAGAATCTGCCGATGTAGAACAAATCCACTGTAAGGTCGCAGGTATTTTCTGTTTCGGGTGGGGAATCCTTCGTGCGCAAAGCACTTATCAGATGGAGTGAACAACAGCCAAACAGGGCGTCCGAATCAGGTGTATCCAAACTTCGAAGACTTTAAGTGACCTGGCCGTACGCCTAATAGTCAGTGGTGCGCACATTTACAGGGACAACCCCAACTCGATTACACACACTATTTGCACCACCAACTACAGGCAAAATATGAGCTGAAAGTTTATTACTGAAGCCCAAGCGCTTCCACGGTCCCTCTTTATTTCTATCAATAATATTTGCTGCCTGTTCCAACACCTGGAATAGTTGGGTGATGTACGGCTGAACCCAAAACAGTTTTGTTGTTAACGGATTTTTAAGACTAATAAACAGGATCTAGGTTTCCACCAAAAATTCCAGGCAGTAGTCCAAAGTGGAGCTTTAAGGAACCCTAATGGTGACCGGTACCGAAGAAAGTTCTGTGAAGCCTCTGTCCCTCCAGCGTGAAATTTTCTTTTGGATCCCGCAAGACGCGCGTTTGTGAAGCAGCAGAACCTCGATCGAACGTTTTTGGAAGTCAAAATATATGACGTCCGATACGAGTCCCTTGTCCTTAGCTTGGATAGAGCTGTCCAGATAGACGGCCATGTTTGTCACGCAAGAACGGTTTGAAAGGAATGCGTGTTGTACTGAGATGTGGAGTTTTTGTTTAAGACGATCCGCTTCAGGATGTGTTCCATCACCCTGCAGTGTACGCCAGGGAGTCTATCATTACTGTGACTGCCGGGTGGTATTAGGTCACAGGCTTTGTAATGTTGCGTGAGAAGCGCTTCCTTTCAAGCAGTAGGAAGGTTGTCTTAGTCAAACAACTGATGAAACACTAGGAAGAAATGCTTCGCCAGTGTTAACGGCGGTTTCTTTAAGATCCTTGTGTGGACCTCGTCTGGCCCTAACGTGCAGAGTGGTTTAGTCTTGTGCAAGAGCTGGAGAATGCCCCCTTCGTGAATGGCAAGTTGGTCAGAAGCCGTCTATAGTTACGCTTTGACAAATTCAGGCGTGGCGAGGTCGCTGGGGCGCAATGCAGGCCTGCATAGTGCTCTCTGTTGGCTTCAGATATCACCACTGGGCCAGTCTTGTGTCCTCCACCCCTTTCCATCCAGTAGAACCCGGATGGCTACCTCCTGCAGCGATATACCTATATTGCGAATTTTAGTTTTTCCTGGTGAGGTCTAAAACGGCGGCTTGTGTTTCTGGACATATTTCATATTTATGGCTTTTCCGCACTATACGAAACGCTAATTCATTTTGTGAGCATTCTGTAGGCGAATTTTTTGAATGATAGTTGCGATACATTTTTCAGAAGACACCTGACCTTTTCAGGTAGCTTGTGTTCCATCCGACTGCGTGATTTTTGCCGTATGAATAATATTTCAGCCTCGTCAACTTTCTGGACCACGGTGGCACAAAACTTTTCTACTGAATCTGGTCCCAGTTCAAACTGATTAGAAATATGCTCATTTATGAGAAGTCTACGTGGCACGCGTTACGAGCACACGCCTGAGGATCGTGATTTTCGGATCAGTAGAACAATAAATCAAAGATCAGCACATACTGCTCGCTACGACCCAGTAGGGGCTATTTAACACCTGATAGATGAAATGTTTTCCGTTCGTGAGGTCCTAATTCAGGAGGCATGGGAGTAGGCATGTTTTGTGTCTGGTGGGTACGACGATATATTGTGCCCAAGCGCTGCGTTGAACGAATTTGTTCACCGCCGCAGTGAAATACCCACTAGACACGATGCGTTGCGAGTTCATCCAAGAGGCCTTAGGGGCGTTAAAATCGCCTAACATGTTTGAAGCGTAGCTCCAGAAGAGTTGCTCAGGGGGTTGTTTGGGGAATCGGTCATTCCCCGATGGACCCAAAAGGCAGTAGTAGACCACGCCAAGAAAAAGAGAATCAGTTCCACATAGCGGGATTTGGATACACAGTGTATCATAAAAAGGTGCCGGAAGGGAGTCGGAGGGAGCGATCGAGGTTGCCACAGGTGCATGTAAATATAGATCGGCCCCATTGGACCACTTGTGTTCTGTGTCAGGCCGTCTAGAAAGATCTCCTCATCAGAGACTTCTAAGGTGTCAGGTATGTGTACTTGTGGATGCAGACGGTTGTTTAGGACAAGCTGGCTG